GGCCAACTAAATCTGAATACTGACTCTATCAGGATGCTTTCTTGCCACAGAAGGAACCATGACTAGAAGACGACGGTGGCGTCAGAGTGAAAACCTTTCATGTGCTGCGACTCGTGTTTCAGACGTGTGCGTGCTCTGCTCTCGTTCTATCCGTCCACCTTGGCGTGATCTCTTACCACTCGCAGTAGCCTTCTCTGCTCCTTGAAGGTGGCACAGCAGCCCAGCACGCCTGTTACCATGACGATGGCTCCAGCCAAGACCAGTATGTAGGCGGAGGCAGCGTACGTCTTGGAGGAGAGGAGGCTGATGTAGTCGCTCTTCTCCACCAAGGTCCAAACACCCACCGCCATCACGACGCCCCCTGCCAACTGAGAGAGGAGGAGACGTGAGGGTCCGGCTTCGACCCAGAAAGAAAAACCCAGACACACACACTCACACGGGGTTCTGGTACAGGCTGTGCAACACCGAGGGGACAGAACCCAGAGTGACAAAAAGGGGGTCTAAATTATTAATCGGCCGAGGCTGCTTCAAAGTGACAAAGGAGGGGCCTGAAATTAATGTCTGTCAATGGGTGGATGTGAGCTGATAAATACTGTAGGAGGCAGCGCTGCCACACAGGATCCAGTCCTCAATCAGTTCATGCTGCAGGATAATTATGAGGAGCTGAACGGAGCAGCTCAGGTCTGAGGCTCAGGGCTAGGGCTGCTGCTGCTGCTGCTGCTGAGGCTGGAAAACTGAGCTACAGCCGCAGACATTCATCAATTCATCCATCAGCCGATTGGCACAAGATTAATCTGCAACTATTCTGATAATCAGTTAACTGCAGGAGTCATTTTTCTAGTCCAACTTCTATGTAAATGTAATATCTTTTGGACTAAAACGAGCAAATTGATTACCTCATGATGCACTGTTTGAAAGCAATCAGTAAATAAAATGAAAATCAGCAGCAAAGACAGGAAATAAAATAAAATAAACAATGCTGAAAAAAAAGTGAAATATTGTAATATTCAAAAGCTGTAAAAATGGTAAAAATAACAGCAAGTATCTGTAAAATAATTACATTTTTAGCTGATTTAAATACAATTAAATTGTGTAATTTCACTGTCAAATGTAAAAGACAAATTACTATTTAAAAAAAAAAAACAAAAAAAAAACAGTAAATAAAATAAAAGTTAGGCAGCAAGGATCCAAAAAAAATAAAATAAAAAATGCTGAAAAAAAACTGTAGAATACTGTAACATTCAAAATCTGTAATAATAACAGCAAGAATCTGTACAATAATAATGTTGTTTTTGCTGATTTAAATAGAATAAAATGGTGTAATTTTACAGTCAAATGTTGGAAAAGAACAAATTAGTATTTATAAAAAATTTTTAAAAATACAGTTTTGGACTTTTTTCTGTTTAAACATAAAAATTTAAATTATTTTTTATGTAATTTTGCTCGTTTTTATATGTAATTTCACAAAAACAAGGAAAATCTGTAAAACACCAGTCACGAAAGATGAACAAATGATTTGCCATTTTTCAATTTTTAGTATACATATTTTTTCTTTCCAATCACTGCAATTATCTGTACAAGAACAATATTGTTGATTTAAATACAGCAAAAAAACATAATTTTACAAATGTTTTAAAGACTGTAATTTACTGAAAAATCTATTAAAAAGCAGCCACAAGAAAATATTTAATATATTTCAATCCTTAATATGCACATTTATTTATATCATTATTTTTTTTCCAAACAACAGCAGCACCATTTTTGCTGATTTAAAAACTGGAAAAGTACAAATTTATATGTGTAAAAATACAGATTTTTTCAGTGCCTTTTCCAGTTAACAGGGAAAATCTGGGAAATAACAGCATTTTGCAAAAAGCAAACAAAAAACAGTAAAACCAGTTTTCATGAGTGTGGATTCTGAGAAATGTGATGACACTTTTATTCAATGTCACCTTTAGGATTTTTTTAGATTAAATTGAAAACAACGGGCAGATTTATCATCACTGAAGCTCTACACTCGTTTAATAATTTTAATATTCACACATTTCGGAGTCGACCGTACGGTTTACAGCCTGATGAACGCCCTGAAGCCCACAGAACAGACTCGGCATGAAAATCAATTCCTCAATCCGGCACCGACGTCTCCAGTGTTATCTAACGGTTAAACAGAACATGAGGACAATTAAATCAGAGCGTGATTACCAAGACGAGTCGGCAGATGGTGCAGCGCTGCAACAGGAATCTGTCACGGCGCCAAAGGAGTCCATCTAACCGCCCGCCTAATTTAGATCTAATTTATACGAGACGACGGCAGGCAGCGCCACGCCCAGAGCCGGTGGAACGACGGCAGACACCTCACTCCGCTGGCTTTTACTACTTCTGCAAAGAGGCTGCGCTTTTTGCTAATTGCTCGACAGCTGCAGTGATTCTCCGTTTAGAGACGCTGCTCGGGAAACAACACCGGCTTAATGCTGGAGGCCTGCAGAGAGCAATAATCACCGATTCCTAACACTTCAGCTCTCACAGCTCATTTAAAACACCTGTAAGAGGGTCGCTCGCTGATCTGACAGAGTATCCATCATCCCCATGCTGTGTGTGTGACATTATAAAGAACTGTTGTGGTAAATAAATGCAGTTTTTCTTTAAGTCAGAAGCTCTAAAGCTAAGCTAAGTAGCAGGTAGTGGTTCAGTCTTTGCAGTCCATGTGGTTGTTGTATCTCCACCTGCTGCTAAACCTCAATGAACCACAGGAGTCAGTGAATGCCGTCGAGAAGTTTAAACTTTGGCGACTCCCAGTGGCAGCAGGAGGTCATAACCGGGAGCCTCCAGCAGTCTGAATTAGATATGTTTGTTATGTCACAGAATGTGTCCATTCACAAAGACTGACAGGTGGAGTTTTCTTTTTGCAGGTATACATGATATCAACAAGATGCTGGATTGTCGAACTTTTTCAGCATCTTTCAGCAAAACCGTGAGCATCCGTTTGTCATTTCTCTGCACTCGGTTCTCATCCTTATCAGGATCAAGAAGTGCTTTTTAAAAATGTCATAATATGTCAGACGGTGGCTTAAATACTCAAACGTGTTGCAGGCAGGTGAGAACGTAGTTCAGTAAACAGCCTCTAAACCATTTTATCCTCCAAAAACACAATTGCTGCTCTGTTTACTCAGTTTTCTCCCTGAACAAAGCTGTCTGTGCATGAAACGTAAACTTTCCGTGCCTCTGAAAACATCCTATTCATGCCCGAAACTGTAAATAACTTTAATTTAAAACCTCAAAAGAAGCTCAGATTGAATTTTCAAGGTTTTTGCTTCACCAAAACAAGAATCCACGTATTCCTGCTGAAAAACCTCCTGAACATGACAAAGACTTCATTTAATGAACGTTTTCCCTCAATCTGAGATCAAACCACACGACCCATCAGCTGTTTGCTTCACGGTCTTTGTCACCAGACAGCGTTGAACATGTTCAATAAAAGCTCACATGATGGAATAATTCAAAAGCGATTCCTGAAGACTTGTCTCCATGTTTCTGTCATAAATCAACAACCTTTTGTTCGTCAGCTTCCTCTAGCAGTTTGCAAACAGCTGGATTTGTTTCAAGGTTCAACACTTTGTTCACAAACTCGAAATTTAAAGTTTTCACACCTTTCCAATCATTCTGTGCTCTGGAAACATTTTCATCACAAAATCGTAAACAATCTTCACTTTTTCTGCTCAGATGTGTAAATTCTTCTATATGTTTATCTTATTTTCTTTTTTATTACTATTTTATTTCATTTTTATTTTATTTTTTCTTTCTATAGTTATTTTAGTTTATTTTTTAGAATTATTATTTATTTTATTTTTATTTTTTCTTTCTGTAGTAATTTTACGTTATTTTTTTCTCATTATTTTACTTTATTTTTTATTAATATTATTTATTTTTACTTTTTCTTTCTAGAGGTATTTTATTTTATTTTTTATAATTTTTTTTCTTTCTAGAGTTGTTTTACTTTATGATTATTTATTTATTTTATTTTTATTTTGTTTCTTTCTAGAGTTATTTTACTTTATTTTTTATTATTATTATTTATTTTATTTTTATTTTTTCTTTCTATAGTTATTTTACTTTATTTTTTATTTTCCTATTGCTCATTCCCACGGCGACACCAACAGCGCAAACTAAATTCCCTTTACGTTATGTGTGTACTTGGCCATTAAAGCTGATTCTGACTTTAAACACTGAAAAACAACCTATGATTGAATTTTCAAGGTTCTTACTTCACCAAAACCAGAATTCACGTATTCCTGATGAAAACCCGGTAGTTCGTGAGCATAATACAGACTGTGTTCAACTAGAAAACTACTGAAGACATCATAGATGAGGCATAACTTCATAAGTACATTTTATTTTGAAAAGCCAGCGAATAATAGAGACGAAATAGACGAATAATACTGAAAGCACTGTGACCCGTCTGGACTTTAACTGAAGGTTCTGCTGCAAAATATGCTGGTGATACAGGGCTCCAAAGAGTTTTCATTTAAATATGGATTTAAACAGCTTTTTTACGAATGTTGTAAAAACGGTACGATGAATCGCTACCAAACGGTGTCAGAAGCCTGTATGATGATGATAATAATAACAATAATAATAATAATAATAATAATAATAATAATAAAAAGCCACAAGAATACCACTAAGTGTGCTTCAAAGCTTCTGCAGTAGTTTTTTTTTTTACTCGATTTGATTTCTTCACATTTCTGGTAAACTCCACCAGAAGCAGGATGCGGTGAGCATGTGTTGTTTCCTTTCATACTTCAGTGTGTTTGTTGTGTCTCTCCTTCCTCCACATTAACTCAGTAAATCACAACAGACTCTGGATTTCCACAGCGCTGACGTTTCTCTGTGAGCTTCAGCAGCCGGATGATTCTCACATACGGGCAGAGCTGGAAGTGCGACTTCACACCCAATCAGAATAAAAGCATCTTTTCCTTTCCGCTCGCTGATGTTTTATTTTCACACAATCGAGCAGTCGGTTATTTGCGGCTCTTTCCTGCGGCAACGCCCCAATTCCTGACTCTGGAAACTCTGACTTGTTTGAATGCATCTTCTGTGTTAAACTATGCAGCGTTTGTCTGCCGCCTCAGAGGAAAGACTTTGTGCTCACAAGGAGATTTTAGCAGATAATTTCTCCCCATTTAGGCCATGAAAGAAAGAAATCACTAGAAGAGGCGCTGTGTTATCGTCCTGCCAGTGTTTCATATATTCACCTCCATCAGGAACCGGCCTGGACGTGGTTTCTGAGTCGCTTCTAGCTTCATCAATATCACAATTGGTGCTGTTTAGATAAATGATCGAAGCCTCCGTGTGGTTTCTTTTGGTTTAAACACATCCGTTAGATGCGTTTGCTGTCGTTGGATTTAAACAGAAGGAGGTGCTGCATTGAAAAACTGCAAAAGTTGTCCAATTCAGCAAAAAAAAGAGGTTTTCACTCTCACTTGAGTTGGTTTGTGACTTAAAAAGAGTTAAAGCTCAACAACCATGTAAACCACACGACTGATCAGCTGCTTCTTTCATCGTCTTCAAACAAAAATGGCCGACACAGGATATAATTAAAGAACAATTACAATTTTATCTCCATTTTTCTGCTGCAAGTCGACAACAATTTGCTGTTTTTTTCTTTTTCTTTGTTAGTTTCGCTTTAAAGCAGCTCATGGAAACAAGCTTTTGGTATTTTTTTGTCAAACATGACAATTAAATGGAAACACAACTAAAGCTCCATCAAGTCCTGCTTCATCTTAATTTTAAACAACAGCCTGCTCCTTCCATGAATCTGGACTGAAGACATCACCTGCTGTAAAGAACAATCAGTTTATCATCATTTCTGATTCACTTTTGCTGTTTTCAGTCGTAATAAAACCCTCATCGCGGTAGCTGCTGAGATTTAGAAAACACGGAGGATTTGTGTTTGGTCAGTTTATCAGAACCAACCGTATGTGGAGGTAAAATATGAAACGGGAGCAACGGAAAAGCTTCTTTTGGCAGCAAATCTCACAAGATAAGGGCAAGAATGTAAACTGTGACGTAGTTTTTTTTTATTATTATTATTTCTCTTCCAAACATCAGCGACCCGGACGCTTTCCTAACTTGTCCAGCTGTCGTCCTGTCGGTGTTTCTGACTCCTGATTACTTCTTTTCAGTCTTCCAGAAGCTCGTGGTCAAAGCAGCAGACAACAGACGGCCTGAACAGTGAAACCATCCCATCTGACGACACGCCTGCATTTGTTTGAAAAACTGCCCAAAGCACTTTGGAAGGAGACAAACAGTGAATTGTTCTGGATGGAAACTCACCCAAAAGAGAAAGTTGAAGGTGAACAGGAGGTACTTCAGGCAGATTGTCCCACATGTTTCCTTTTTCTCCTCGTACGCTCCCATGCTGTAAAAAACAAACAAGAAGGCATTTTTAGTTCCTTCAACAGGATCAGGAACAACAATGTTGAGCGTTTGCACGGTAACTTGTTGGTACAGCTGATATAAACTCCTCTCTGCTGACGGTTTAAAGCCAGTTTGATTGAGTTTTGGTGCAAAATAATGCAGAAAATCCAGCACAAGACGGGAAAATGACCCAAGGCTGCACTAAAATGTCAACTAAATACAAAACATTTCCAGTTTTTAGATTTTTTGATACCTGCAAAGTTTAAAAAAAAAAAAAGAAAAAAGAACATTGGGTGCAAAAAATAATCAATCATCCAATCAGAAATGTCGTCTGTGCAGAATGAAACAGTTAGAATTACAGAAATAGTAAAAAAAAAAAAAAAAAAAGGAATGTCTTTGATTATTTATTTTACAAAAAATGGCGTCCAAAGGTTTCACCAACACTGGAGGAAAAAAAAACTGTGTCGGCTTCTTTATCAGAATTTTTCACAGCATCCAGAAAAATAAACGGTTTATTTTGGGGGAAAATGTTAAAATTTCAATTAAACGTCATCATTTTAAGCTTACGTTTTTCAGCAAAACGGTCCGTCGTTGAGCAGTTTAACGGACCAAAAGTTGAAAATATGATGATTATTTCCGCTTCTACAGTTTCTTGGGGTTTTTTTTGGCATTTGTTTTAAAGATAAAATGGTTTCCTATTCCACTTCTGAGGTTCAGAGAGTTAAAGATGTCATTTACAGCTTATGAGCGAGGCCTTCTGGTTGCTTTATTTGTCCGATTAACAGGTGGAAAAAAAACAAATTTATTCAATTTATCGCCATTTTTGACACATAAAGCTCTTATTTGAGAAGCTGAAACCAGATAATATTTAAGACTGTTGCTTAAAAAGGCCTAAAATACAACAATTATTTCTCTTTTCTACAGTTTCTGTCTGATAAATGGTGTTTTTTGTGATTTCTTTAAACCCACCAGCAGATGAGGGGTTCAGAGGGTAAATCAGTTGGTCTGGAAGATTAAAAGATGTCATTTATAATTTATCAACAATGACGTCTTCTGTTTCCTGTATTTGTCCAACAAACCAAAACCCACAAATATTCAATTTATCGTCATTTTTGACACCAAAAGCTCAGATTAGAGAAGCTGAAACCAGATCAAATTTAAGATTGTGTCTTAAAAAGGTCTAAATTATGTCGATTATTTCAGTTTTTCACAGTTTCTGTCTGATAAATGGTGTTTTTTAGGCGATTATTTACAAGATATAATGGTTTCCAAACTCAGTGGCAGATTTGGGGTTCAGAGGGTAAATCAGTTGGTCTGGAAGATTAAAAATTTAAAAGATGTCATTTATAATTCATCAACAATGACGTCTTTTGTTTCCTGTCTTTGTCCTACAAACCAAAACCCACAAATATTCAATTTATTGCCACATACGACGCAAAAAGCTCTTATTAGAGAAGTTGAAACCAGACAGAATTTGACATATTTGCAAACAGAAACTATTGAATTAACGAGCCAAATGGCTGCGGGTTAATTTAGTGCTGATGAACCGCTTATTGCAGCACTAAACGGGGTTAAGTAGGTGCACTGCAGGACTGCGGCTGGCACCGAGGACAGAATTAGAGCTTCTCCGTTTTAGTTTTTTTGTGAGATGCTTTTAACAAATGAGTAGTTGCGGGGCTAATGTAGCTGTGGGGGAGTGCAGCATCAGATGAGCGGCGTAGGCACAACCAGCGGGCTGAGTTATTACATGTGCACGCAGAGAGAGATCCATGACTCAGCACTGAGTAGGAGCTGGAATCTGAACCCGCCCTGCTCCTCCGGTGGCTCCTCCGGTGGCTTCTGGAGGCACCAAGCCTCGGCTGCAGCTTCAGACATGACATGAATGGAAAACGACGACTAATTCATGAGTTTTGAAGCTGATTCCAAACAGCCACGACAACCTGAGACGTGAGGTGGAGGGACAGACTTCCAGCAACACTCCTCTAATCTCTCCTCCCTCCACAGTGTTCTGGTTACAGTCAAGCCCAGACTCGCCCTCCTCCTCCAAACTCTCCCGTCTGCTTCCCCACCTCCTCCAACACAGACATGAACGGCCGAGCGAGTCTGTCTGCAGCCGGCCATCTGCTGCCGCCGACCCTCTTAGCGAGCTCCTGTTAATTAAATCCAAACAAGACCTAATTGGCTTTTTACATTTCGGAGCCGGGCGGGAATCTGCTGAGTCAAGAAACGCAGCATAAACGGGAGAACACCTCCCGGCGTTCACCTTTAGAAGAACGCCCGACTGCCACGGTGGTGTCGGGTCTTCGCTTTGTTTGGGATCCTTAAACAGAACTGCTGTCTGGTAAATAAAGCAGCCAGCTGTCTGACACAGGCGTCATAAATCGAGTTTAGTTTAGCCGTGAAGCTCACTGCAGGCTGTGAGATGATAGTGGAGGAATACTTGAAGCTGGCCCAGGCAGGTTTTTATCATCAGATATTTAAGTGTTGCACACGTTTCGGGTTCGTGAAATAAAAATGTTATTTCTGCAAACTATCTGAGAGAAGCGGCTTTCTTGTGCGTCTTTATTTCTCTGTGAACCAGGCTGCTTAACAAACTACTGAACTTCAGCAATATTTCATCTAAAAACAAACATTTTAAATAAAAAACACAACGCTTTAGCTTCAGAACTTTAGCTTTTTAGCAACAACGACAGTTTAATTTTGAATTTACAGGCTGCAGACGTAGTCCAGCCTCACGTAAATACTCTGTGATTTATTAAATAAGAACAAAACCATGAACACGACTGGTTGTGTTCAACACTTTAATGTCACACAACCGCTACGAGCTGCTAAGATTGGTTTATTGATTAGTTAAGATGCAGAAAATTGATGTGCAACTTTATTATGAGGAGGCAAATCAACTAGAAAAAGACTAAATACGGAAATGGACGTGATTTTCTGCTGGATTTGTTGTTATAAACACACAGTTTGGTTGAATACGACAAGATTTCTGAAGATAGATCTTTCACAATTTTCTAATATTTCAGGAATTAATAAAAAAAACGGAGTAAAAACTCCACACAGTAACCATTAATATACAAACTGTTAGCTGCAGCTCTCGTCCAGACCTTCTAAATATCGTCAGACTTCATTTAAATCCTATTTTATTCACAGATTAACTCCTTTAACTCGACTGTCAACATCAGATTATTAATCCTCAAGTCCACAAAAACAGCCAGATGCTGATTTGAGGAGCCGCAATCCTCAAAATTTCTTTCCAATTTGCTTTCAAAATACATAAAAAACAATAATTCCTGAGCTGAATTCTTGAGGGACTGATGTTAGAAATCAAGGATCCTTCACGGCGTTAATTAGCTCAGTTTTCTAAATCAACAGGGAGACTCTCAGCAATATCTTTCTCATGTTTGTTAATTCAGGGTTTCTCCACACGAGTCCCGTCTGACTAATTAGGTGAGCAGACAAAGGCCCGAATGAAACTCCTTCCTTGAAGGTTAATCATTTATTTCTCAAGTCTGAGTTTATGTTTTGGCCCAGCGCTTCTAGACAACGCTGCAGTTACCGATCCAGACGTGGAACGTGACTCACGTTTAATCACACCTGTGACCTCAGACAGGTGAGCGGAGGGAAAAACACCAGAAACAAGCCGACTGCTTGATCAGCTGCTGTGTGACAACATACAGCACAAAGGGATGAAGTCTGGTGATGATTAGTGAGACAATTAAGAACAAGAAGGTCCTAAAATAATGAAACTAGCAGCAGTAAGTCTGGTTTTGGGTGTTGGACTGGATCAAGATAAAAAATAAAGGACTGATAACATATTGGGTTTATTCTGAGAGATCAGCTCATTGCTTCAGATGAGTCACAGAAGAAATATTTATTATATTTACCTCCATGTTTAATCTGACGTGTGGTTAAACAGGAAACGGTGACAATAAACGCCTCATGACTGGCAAATTATTTATGTTTCGCTTTATATGATGAAATATTTCTCCCTCTCTCAGCTGCATTTAGCAATAAAACCAATAAATATTAGTATTTATATCATTGATCTGGATGGAAATCAATGTTTTAAGAAGAGATCTGGATCTAAATTTTGCTCTTTGGTAAATTTTTTTTTGCTTGTTTTTACAAAAGTAAGAATAATTTTATATAAAACAGGCCTGGATCTATTCATCTGTTGTTGTGATAATACATTATAGCTTCTCTAAAATACACACAAACTCTATAATAAATGCTCCTAAAAGTCTGATTCGTTCTCCAAAGTGAGCAGATTCAGTTTTATCGTGGACGTTTTTCTGTCTGACAGCCTCACAGCAGGACATCTGCATCGGGGACGTTTTAAAATATTAAAATATGACAACACATCTTCTGGTTTCTGCACTTAGAGGAGCTTTCATGAGCGTTACTGTGATTTTATGGAGGATTTTCTCCACCTCAGCAGCAGCTGCATCGCTTCTCCTGCACTAATTAAAAAGGTCACATTAGTCTTAAATCAAAAGTTTGAAAACAAGCGTTTCCACAGTTTTTACATGAGATAATAGCCGTAAATAAGCTTAAATGAGGCTAAATTACCAGCAGCACTGATGCCGCTGCCCTGAGCTCACTGTGATATTCATGTGGATCCAAAGATTAGTCGTCAACTGTTAAATTTATCCCCAATTATCAGTTTGACTCATTTTACTGCAGAAAAAAAGTCTAAACTCTGTGATTGCAGCTTCCTAAACGTGAATACTTTCTGGTTTCTTTCTTCTTCTGTGACAGTAAACTGAACATCTTTAGGTTGAGGACAAACATCTGTCATCTAATCCACATTTTTCACCTTTTTTTTGTTTTGACATTTCAGAGAACACAGTTTGTTATCAACTATTAAATAAACAGCCAACTACTCTGACAATCAATGTGAGTATTTTTCAAGAAAAATAACTGAACTCTCTGCTTGCAGCTTCTAAAATGGGATTAATTTCGGGTTTTTTTCTTCTTCTATGACCGTAAAGTGAATATCTTTGAGTTTCAGACACCAGATTTGTCATCGTGGGCTTTGGGAAACACTGATTTTGACATTTTTCACCATGTTTTCTGACATTCTTTACAGAAAACTGTTTATTAATCTTAAATTCTGTGATTGCAGCTTGTTAAATGAGATTATTTTATGGTTTCTTTGTTCCTCTATGACAATAAAACAAATATCTTTGAGTTGCAGACACCAGATTTGTCTCACTGGGCTTTGGAAAACACTGATTTTGACATTTTTCAACATTTTTTCTGACATTTCAGAGATCACAAGCAGTTGTCAACTATTAAAATAATTGCTAATTATTTAGATAATCAGTTTGGTTAATGTCTGTGCAGAACAAAGTAGAATTGTCTGATTCCAGCTCCTTTAATGTGAATATTTTCTCGTTTCTTTCTTCTTCTATGACCGTAAAGTGAATATATTTGAGTTTCAGACACCAGATTTGTCATCGTGGGCTTTGTGAAACACTGACTTTGATATTTTTCACCATTTTTTCTGACTTTCTTGACAGAAAACAGTTTACTAAACTTAATTTCTGTGATTTCAGTTTGGTAAATGTGACAATAATCTGCCTTCTTTCTTCCTCTGTGACAGTAAAGTGAATATATTTGAGTTGCAGACATCAGATTTATCATCTTGGGCTTTGGGAAACACTGATTTTGACATTTTTCACCATTTCTTCTGACATTGTAGAGAACATAGTTAGTTGTTAACTAATAAATGAACAGCCAGCTGCTTTCAGAACCAACTTAAACGTTGTTTTTAAGTCATATGGTGTAAATTCTGTGACTCCAGCTTCTTAAATGTGAATATTTTTTGGTTTCTTTGCTCTTTTTATGACAGTAAACTGAACATCTTTATATTACGGAGCTTTGGGGAGCACTGGTTGACGTTTATCACCATTTTCTGACCCTGAAATGAGAACAAATAAAGAGATAAAGGCCGGTGGGTGGGTCGGTGTCGGTGTGAACTGGGCTGAACCTGCAGCTTCTCCTCCGTCACTGAGAAAAGTTCAGCTAGCTAACATTTCTACCACAAATCACTGCTAATCTGTAAAAACACCGGAAACTAACGTCCCCTCCAGCTTTGACTAACCGGTTCGGGCTCCTAACGACCAGCTCCGGTCCCTGAACCAGAACAAATGTGCCTTTCTGCGGCTACACCCTCCGCTCCAGCCCTTTGTCGTGTTAAACTCCATCTCCTGTGAAGCTAACGCTAACCGGAGCCGCTGATCAAACTCCTGGAAAACGAGGACATTTATCCAAACGACGAACTTTCAAGTCCAACAGTTACCTGATAGGAGCCCGTGTGGCGGCTACACGTCCGGATAAAGCCGTGAAACGTGTCGTGTGTTCGGTTAAAAGACGGTAAAAGCTCCGCCAGTGCGTCCGCTGCGGGTTAAGCTAGCTCCGCTGCCTCTTACCTGCCGGTTCTTGTGGCGACTAAAGCGGGGAAAAGTCCTCAAAGTGGCCGGTTGTCGGTGCTCTCCGTCCGGACGCAGGCCTGTTGTGGAGGCTGGAGGGCAGGAATGAGCTCCGTGCTGCTGCTGCTGCTGCTGCTGCTGACTCCACCCCGGGCCACCTGCCCCGCTCTGGGTTTCTGTGTCCCGGGGCAATGCCTTTTCTGCGGCAGCCTGCAGGCAGAACTGAGGGTCAAAAAACCCGGAAGCCAGACAGGTTTCAGGGATTCATCTGGTCCTGGAGGGTTTTTATGATTCAAACAGGACAAATACTTCAACATAACGTTATAAAAACACAGTTAGGCCCAAAATAAGTCAGGGTAAATATCACACTTTTATTTTTTACCTGCCTAGAAGCTCTGTTCAGGCTGGAAATGACACAAACACCTGATAACAGATCAAACACTGGGTCAGACCTGGTGTTTATTTGTTTTGTTTGTTTATAAAAAAAATCATGTTTAAATTATTCATAAATGTTATTTCAAAAGTCCTCTGAACATGCAGTTTCTATATGCTACAATAAAAAATAAATAACCAAAAAATCATTTTAAAAATACGAAAATTAAAAAAAAAACTAGTGAGTTGAATGCTGTTACGTTTAAAAAACTACATTAAAAAAAACAAAACAGTGAAAATATCTGTAAAATAAGGATGATTTTTCAGCTGATTTAAATTCAGTAAAACTGTTTCCAGTCTCACGTTGGAAAACAATAAATAAATATTTGTAACAGAAAAAAAAAGAAAAAAATTATGCAGACATTATTTACAGTTTTTTTACAGTCTATTAACATTATATTATTATTCTAATTCTGTGTTTTTTTCTAGATAGTTTCTAAAAAAAAATAAAAACGTAAATATCGAGACAAACGTATGAACAAACATGTAATAAAACAAGCAGCACATTTGTCAAACTGGCACATAAAACAGCTTTAAGAGGACAATAAACGATGAAGGCAGCATCAGTCAAAAGCTTTGAAATCACGTTTTTATTTATTTCCTTCAATTCTTTATATTGTAGAAGAAACTGTTCAGTGAATTAAACAGATGAAATGATGTGTTCAGATGCTTTCAGATAACAGCTGGAATAACTTAATATGTACGAGTAATCAGCTTATCTTTAGTAATTAAAAACACCTCTGATTTAACAAGACTTGACTCAAACAGACTGCTGCAGTAAACGTGGTTTCTTCAGTGTGGCTGCAGCAGGATGGTTTCTTACCTTCATTCCTTCAGGCTGCAGGTTGTTTATGGTGCAGTAACACAGGTTGTCCACTTGGTGGCGCTAGTCTCCTTCTGGCTCCACTCCAGTTATCTTTCCCAGAAGCATTACCGTAATCTTGAAAGGAACTGTGACTGAAAAAGCTCACGGTGTGCACATTTAAAGCAGGTTTCCTGCAGCTTTAGCCCGCCGCCCTTTGAAATAAAGGTCAGACGCCAAAGAAAAGAGTCTTTAGACATGATTTTGTGTGAAAGTTTTGGGTTGAACGAGGCAGCAGGAGAAGTCTTCTTTCAGTTCAGGCTTACGGGAGTGAACAACGTTAGAAGACATGCACGTAAAACAAGAAAAGATGAGTCTGAAGACGTAATTGCATTTTTAAAAAAAGGAGAAATTTAACCAACAATTGAGGAGAAAACACTCACAGGCCAACCTTCAAGCACCGACTCATAAGAAGCAACGTGCAACTTTGCAGATGCATCTATTACAACATAATAGATACAGACTGAATAGCACATGCTGCTCCTGAGAAAGCTGCTGCCCGTCTATTAGAGAGCTGCAGGGATAAAAGCTGTTAGTGGGACACAAGCTGTCAATCTGCTGCTGCTGCTGCTGCAGGCGTCAGGCCGGAGTACAGCCGGAATACAGCAAGAATACAGCAGGAATACAGCAGGAATACAGCAGAAATACATGCACCTTCAGGCCCTGAAACCCAGCTTCACCCACAGGTTGGTGCTTTAGATGCAGTCTGGTGTTCGTAGCTGGCAGAAAATGTGAGAATGTAAATGTGTAGTTTGTGTGTGTGGACGGAGCAACAGGCGGTTTGGATGTTTGTAAGAAGATTAAGTAGGAAGAGCTGCAAGCTGGGAGAGCGGTAAGGGCAACCACGGTGGGTTTAACCTGCACTGGGCCGAAGAAAACAGGAGAAAAGAGGCAGCAAGCGGGCCAGAAAATACAAAAAAAGTAGAATACTGTAATGTTTGATAACTCTGAAAGCTGTAAAAAGAAAAGAAAATTCAAAAATATCTGTAAAATAATCACTTTAGCTGCAGTAAATACAGTAAACAGTGTCATTTAAAGGTCACACGTTTAAAAAAAAACGTAATTACTATTTGTAAAAAAGCTGATTTATTCATTATATTTATTATATATACGCACTGTACAGTAAAAACAATAGTGTAATTTATAAAAGTACTGCAGATAAACTTTGTTGGATTTTGCCTGATTCTACGTGTGATGAGCGATAGGAAAAGGCTTTTGTGGCTTTTCTAACCCATAATGAACAGAAGCAGCTCCAGTTTGCACCAATTAGCTTCAGAGACTTAATGAGTGAAGCAGCAGCAGCAGCAGAGGACAGACTGGTGATAACACAGTGTTGGTGGAACAGAACATCCACAGTGAGCTACCATCACATGTGGTGAAAGAACTAATTATGACTCATAGAAATACTGATTTTTCTTAGATTTTTTTTTTTTGCCAGTTTAAAATTTTATTTTTATTTATTTTTACAGTAAATGTGTTAATTAATAATTATTTTCTAGGATTTTACTAATTATTATCTGCAAACCTGACAGCAAGGGCTGGAAAAAATATGTTAAAACGCAATAGAATACTGTGAGAACAACGGTAAATATTTGTAAAATAATCTTTTTTTGTTGTTGCTGTTTAAATGCAGTAAAACACTAAATTATTATTTGTAAAAAAAAAAAAAAAAATCTAGACTTTTTTATGAGGAAATTTTTGTACATTTTATCATTTATTTATGTATTTTACAGAACACATGTAAATTAATCATTCTTATCTGTAAGTTTACTTATTTGTTTGTTATTGTTTTCAAACCTGGCAGCAGCAAGAGAAAAAAATGCTGAAAAACAATAGAAGGTTTTAAAAACTGTTAAAAAATAAATAAATAAAATAAACAAAAGGTAAAAATTATTGTAAATATTTGTAAAATAATCAGATTTTTTTTGCTGATTTAAATACAGTAAAACACTAAAATTTATAGTCTCACAAAGAAAAGAACAAATGATTATTGTAAAAACATAGAATTTTTTAATGAGGAAATTTTGTACATTTTGGCTTGTTTTAATTGTTTTTAAAATGTATTTATTTATATTTTTTCACACACAAAAATTAAATTAATATCAATTATTTTCTGTGATTTGACGAGTTATCTACAAACCTGGCAGCAAGGTTGGCAAAAATGTTGCAAAACAATGGAATTGTTTAAATGTTCAAAAATTCTTAAATAAATAAATAAAATGAAAATTGGAAAATTACGGTAAATAATTGTAAAATAATTACAATTTTTTGCTGATTTAAATAAAGCAAAACACAAAGGTTTACAAAGAAAAGATCAACTTCCTATGTGGAAAAATACAGATTATTGATGTGGACAACACGTAAATTAATGTTTCTTGTTGGAGTAATTTTATAAGTTATTACCTGTAATTTAACAAAACAGTAAAATCTGTAAAGCAACAGTAACTATTTACTAAATTACAGCTGAATACAGTAAAGAACATGAATTTTATTTACAGTGTGCATCACTGTGCCTCCTGAACAAAAATCCGTTTCCTGAACATCCAGTATATTTCTGATAACCTTTGATCAGGCTGAGATGTTTCTCCTCCACCAGTCCTCCTGCTGGTATCTGGCCTCTCACATCCAGCTCTTCTTTTGGCCGGAGCAGCGAGCTGGGCCGCTAACCCAGAATGTGAGTGGGGCAGCTTTCAGGAATAAGTCTCGAGTGTTTACAAGTCGTCCTAATCTCTGCCACACCTGCCGCCGTCGTGCCAAGCTATAAATACGGGGGTCATAAGAGGATCCACCTGGTGTCGGCGTGAAGCGCCCTGCCGGACAGCGATCCTCACAAACGGTCAAATAAACCCTCAGAGAGTCAGCGAGAGGAAGGACGGCTTTAATCTGTGACCTGTGAGGAGGGAGAGCTGCAAACATTCTGGAGCTGGGTTGGTTTTAATTTCATTTGTGGCCCAAATGAGAGTCAAGATTTAAAAAAATCTAATTTACTAATTTAGATAAACGAAACAGGCTGTAGACATTATTTTGAAGGGTCATGCTGACATAATAATGTTGCATCAACTTAATATTTGGTGTCATTTCAACTCAAATGTTTGTGCTAGTTGAGGCAACTTAATGAAATTAGCTTGATAACTTTTCTTCAC